GAGTCCAGGTAACAAGATGATAACGTGGCCCTGCTGGCCTGAGCAGGGAAACAGCAGGAAACCTTGCTTCTCTTCAGGTATTTAGTGCCAGTTGGAGGGACAAAGAGAGCTGTAAACAATTGTGGCTTTACAAGGAAAGAAAGGAAAGCCACAGGGGCTTCCAGACACTGGGATGACAAGCTGTTTTCCTCCCTTCTGGGAGAAAGCCACAGAAGTTGAAACAGAATTCGTAACGAACTTATGAAGACCCTGGAGGGTACTGCCATGGATTACGTGAAGCTTTTTTTTTTCTTTTTTGGTCAATAAAGTTACCACAGGTTTTCGGATCACAGAAGAACCTTTCCCACAGTTTCCAGTGGTTATCTGTGTTCTGTTCTGGACCTGTTCCCCGCAGGAAAATCAGAAGCGATGGGCAGACCGTGTCAAATGTGAACACAGTGTGGTGTGCCGCAGCAAGCTTACTGCCATGCTAAACGCCTGGTAAGGGAGCACGCCTGGAAACTGCCCGCTGGTTGGAATTCGCCTCAGGACCCAGGATGTCCTGACCCAATCACTGGGGCACATGTTACTGTCCTGAGTACGGACGTAGGATCTGAGCCCCTGCTGGCTGCAGGCCCACCACACTGGCACCTGCCTTCCTCCCCGACATCACCCAGCCCAAAGGCCCGCGGTGAAGTGTGTGACCCCCCTGATGTCCCCTCCTGGTTTATCTGCACCTAGCAGAGTCCCAGCAGCCAGCATGGGAGTGGGCACAGGGGAAGCTGAGAAATAAACACAGATCGATATTAACTGGTAATGTTCACAGGGGGGAATGTTCCAGAAAACCTTGAACCCCGCAGTTGGCCCCGTTTTGATTCCAGTTGCTCACCCTGGAAGGAATGGCAGCATCCAATTCCCCCATCCTTTTCCCCACTTCTTCCGGGGTGATTCTCTGGACCAGCAGTATTAGCGTCACCTGGGAACGTTTTAGGATCGCGAACTCTCAACTGCTCGCTCCTCAGACCTGCTGGCTTAGAAGCGCTGGGGGCGAGGCTGGCAGTCTGCGTGTGAATGACCCTCTGAGGTTGCTGGGCAGACCCCTGGGCTGGCACCTGCTGAAGTCAGCCTGTCCTGATGGACCAGGCTCTTGGTTAGGAACCCCAGCACCTAGGGGAGGCCGTGGTTCGGGGTTGTTGGGGTGTGGACACAGCACGTGACACCCACACCAACCACTCACCTTTTCACTCCCGCCCTCCCAGGTCACCTGCCTCCGCCACATTTTGCGCATTTCCCTTCATTGTCAGCAAAGCACATAGACACACGCCTGGATTTACTCATTCATTGTCTTTCCAAATCACACACGAAGTGTGCTCCCACGGAAAACAGAAGGAGAAAGGAAGAGAACGGAGAAAGAAAGCGTGAAAAATGAACCTCTCCTCCACGCCCCTTCCTCAAAGCCACCCCTCCAGGGGCCCTGTCTTTCTCTGTGTTTATCAATGTGTGTGGGGGCAGTTTTGATTTACACATAGAAGAGCAGCAAAGTGCATTGCAGCTTGCTTTTGCACATAAATACTTCCGATATCCGCATGTAAACCCCAGCATCGACATTTTTAATGATTTTGTAGCATTTTGATGTGTGAATGCAATAATTTAATTACAGTGATGTTTTCCCTAAAAATGGACATATCAATTGTTTTCAGCTTCTCCTTTTGCAAATATCGGATATCCACAAGTGAAATTTCACCCAGTCAAAAGTTATTCACATGTAAATTTAGCTAGATACTGTAACTTGTCCTCCAGAAATCTGTACTGTTTGCATCCCTACTAATAAAATGTGAACGCCTGCCTTCCTCACCTGGGCTCAGTGTCCCATTGTCAGCAACCTGATCAATAGAAGTAAAGATAGTGTCAGTTTCAGTTTCTATTTCATTGATTACTATAATGCTGAACAGCTTCGTGAGTGTTATTCTTTTCCTAGTTTTATTATTTCCTGTATAAATGTTTAGTTCTACATTTATCATTTTATATTGGACTTTCGTATTTTGTTAATTTATAGGCCTTATTTTTCTGCCAGTTTTTAGCCCGCTGTTCCTGAGCTTCATCGCAAACATGTCCCCCTGCCAGACTTGCGTAGAGAGGAGTCCTGGAGTGCCTTCAGTGGCTGTGGGGGGAAGCTTCCAGGGCACTACAGTCCAGTTCTTTACAGCTGCTGAGCATTGGTCGTGCGGCGTCTGACGGTGACTCAGCAGAAGACAGAGGCTGTGCTGGTGTCTCCCAGGCACCATGGGATCCAGCAGCTCCCAAGAGGCAGCCCCAGGAGCAGCCTACCGGCGTGACTCGGCAGCTTTCTTCCCCTGCTCCGAGGGGGCGCAGGTGGGGACGGCACGGGCTTCTACCCACTCCTCACCCTGCCTGTGGGAAGCCTCCAAGACTCGGGAAGGAAAGGCAGTGAAGACCTCACTTGTCTCCTGCTGGGGCTTGGGCCTGGGTGCTGACTTCGCGGTGCTGACTCACAAATGCACAAGGAATTGGGTGTGCAAAGGAGAAACCACGCAGTGAAGAGCCCCATGGTCCTGTCACAAAATCCACTGCTCACTTTTTATTTCCATACCTATCCGTGCTTCACAGAGCCTCTGACCAAGGCAGCCTCCTCTTATCATTCGCAGATTTTGTAACTTTCTGCCTTTCTGAACGGGCTCTTTATTCCTGGTCATCTGGGATAATTTCCCACCTGTGATTCTAAAGAAGAGAAGCTATCGCTATGATAAAAGCTCACTGCAGATTCAGGGACATTGTGCCTTACCCCAGCAGACACCGAGGGGCTCTGTTCCGGTTGGGTCTTGCCCCCGTTCTCATCTTTCCTATTAAATACTTAAGTTCTAAAGTAGAGACTCTTCTTGATGAGGAGGTTGGGTAAAGGAATGCCTTTGTATAACCTTTTTTTAAATTGCATTCACGTCACAAAGCACAGAATTTTGTAGCAGCGCAGTTCTGCGCACACGCCTCTTGTTTTTCAGAGCAGCCTTTCCTCCCCCCGTGTTGAGGCTGGATGTCACGGCCACACAGGTCACCCATGTTAATCACTCGACCGCCCTTCCACGTTCCTCCACACTCAGCCATTTGTATGTGCACACGCGTCTAGCACCTGGTCCCCATGCCGCCTCCCACTGCAGGGACCCTCTCACCGTTCCCATGAGGTTAAACACACTTTCTGTATGCCGATGTTTACATTGACAATACTTTCCAACATTCTGGAAACGCTGCAGTCATTGTCTCTAGCATCTGTGAACTGTCTGCATAGCGATGACTGTGGCTGACCCACCTGCCCTTCCACCACTGCTTGTTCGCCGTGTCTGGGCCCTGAGGGCTCCGTGAACAATGCTCCAGTCAAATGTCGTTTTTGGTGAAAGTTTATGTCCATATTTGCTGGTATCTAAGACTTTGCCAACAGGATGCTTCCATTTTTGTGAGAAAATTTAACTTATTTTCATCATACATATGTTGAAAGTGATTTTCCTGTATCATTGAAGCAACGTCATTGTTTGTTGTCTCACGCCAAGGGAATCGAGGAAATGGACACCAAGAAGTGAGTTTAAGAGTGGAGGTTTAATAGGCAAAAAAAAAGAAAGAAAGAAAGGAAAGAGAATAGCTCTCTCTCCTGAAGAGAGAAAGGGGCTCCGGAGTGAGTCTTCAGCCCGAGGCAGAGGGCGTGGGGCTCTTTAGACGGCTTGAGGAGGTGGTGTCCGATGTGCATAGGGCCCAAAGATTGGTTGGACCAGATGTGTCATTTACATAGCATGCAAAGAAGCTGGCCACCTCTTCTAATCTTTTACTGTGCAGAGAGGGTCTCTGCCTGGCTGGTGCCAAGTTGCCTGCTCCTTCCTGTGCACGGGGTTGACAAGGAAAGCAGAAGATTGAGTGCTGCCGAACCTGCCTGGCCACCGGGTAGCATTTCCTATTGGCACAGCTGCTGGCATTCACCCGTTCGAGCTCCCAGCTTACCTATGTCTGCAGCTCAATTTTACAGGCTGTTCTTGGTCAGAAAAGGGGTGATTTGGGGCTGCCTTTCATTAAAAGGAAAACCTCACCAAGGACTCTCTTACCATCACTATCCACCTAAATAATTTCTTTTTAACTCCTATATCATGGTTATAAGATAAAATCTATATTGGTCATGCAAGCAAACCTAGGTTCTGCCTGGGATACAGTAGGAAATCACAAGTCGCAACTGAGGCTGACCATCCAGGGGGCTCCTGAGATTTTCCCCTGTACATGGGAAGTCATCACGTGGCCCTCTCCCTGCAGGGTATCCCGCAAGGCAGTTCCCCATAACCACGGGCAGGGACCAGGGAGGGAGGCTGCTGCAGCCTCAGCCGGCAGCTGAGGAGGGGACATTGGCCGGGAAGAGGGGTCTTGGTTCAGCTCCCACAGGATCCCACGTAGAGCTACATGCAGCATCGATGCCAAGCGCATAGTGAACAGGCGAGTGAACGAAGAACAGGCAGCACATCACTCTGCCGTGTGTCTCACACGGTAATCACCAGCCGCCTGGTGCTTCATAAGTCCTTCCCTTCAGAGCAATATTTTCCTCAAGTCCCTTCCCCGTCTCCTCCCTCCACTCTAACAGCCTCTTTCCTGTGAAAAGCAGTGCGACTGGAGAGACAGGAAGAATAGGCCAGTAAAGACAACCCTCTCATTCAGAGACATCAGCCCTCAGGGGTCCCACCTGGCCATTGGATCTTCTTCGTGAAGCCTCTTGCTAACCTAGAAAATGACAGGAAAATATGGGCTCCCCAGACTTCTGCCACAGAGAAGAGCCTTCTCAAATGCTGATATTCCTAGATGTGATACCGATCGAGTCACTAAAGTCCTGTATTTCAAATCAAGGAAAGAAGAGGGCGGGTGATGCCAGAAACAGAACAGGCAAAGAGCAGAGCAGATGCTTCCCAGCAGGCACCAATCAAAGGTCCAGCAGCAAAGGTCTAGCAACAGCAGTCATCATCAAGAGCCACAGGCACCAGAGCAGGGCAGAGGCAGTGGGCTGCACCCACCTAGGTTGGCTGGTGTAAACCACCCTGGCTCCTTCTGAGGCTCCACAGCCCGAGAACACTCCTCAACTATCTGAAGACTCCTTTGCCTAGTTGAGACTTCTTGGAAGAAATCCAGGACTATCCTAGAAGCGTCTTAGAAACTGTGGGGACCTGGAGGGGTTAAATGCTTTGACAGAGGCCACGGCTAGTTAATGGCCAAGCTGGAACTAATATCCAATTATCCAGTGTCTGAGAGAGCGTTCCTTCCAGGCATGGCATCACTTAGCCTCACACAGTCCTAAAAAGCGGAGGTGAATGAGTCACCCAAGCAAAGCAGGCATTGCTCACCTCTCACTCACGGAGGACAAGCAGCCAGCACACAGCTGCACCGTCAACTGACCCCAAAGCCGGGGACTGCAGTGACAGTGCAGGGCTGAGGGGGCAGAAAAGCCAAGACGGATGCCACAGGTGCAAAATCAGCTTTTTAAAAGAAGGGAGTGTAACTGACAAGCTTGCGTATATATTAAGAACAGCAATATGGTCTTGGTACGGCTCCCACGGGGTCCCACGTGGAGCTACACGCAGCATAGATGCCAAGGTAAAGACGCACGTATAGATGCAGCAAGATGGCACAGAGACACCATCAGGACTCACTCCATCCTCCACCTCCTGAGCCCAAGTGACCCTCCCACCTCAGCCCCTTCCCGAGCAGCTGGGACTATAGGTGTGCACCACCACGCCCGGTGGATTTTTTGTATTTTTTAAGAGAGACGGGTTTTCACGATGTTTCCAAGGCTGGTCTCAAACTCCTGGACTCACCAAATCCACCCCTACTTTGACCTCCCAAAGGGCTGGGATTACATGAGCCACCACACCAAGCCTAGAATGTGTATGTTTTTAAATGTGGCACTGGGTGACTATCTGTGAATGTGATTGCTACTACAAACAATCAGAAAAGGGAATGGCCATTGTCAAGATAAACGGCATACTCGATGCGGAAGCAGAGGCTCTGGCTTTGATTCGAAACGCCGTGCACGGCTCAGCTTGGGCGTGTGACGATTTCTGAGTTCCAGGCTTAGAGAGTGAGCACACTGCACTGTTTAAGAAATAAACACGGGGCAGCCCAGCAGTGCCAAAGGTCAGAGACCAGGCACACCAGACTTGTGCTGAGGTGTTGGCAACCTGGACTGGAAGGCAGCCTGCCAGGCCTTCCTGCCAGCGTGGTGGGTGCAACTGACAGCAGCAGCAGGTGACAGACGTGGGAGCCCAGGAAGCAGAGCTGAGGAGGTGCTGGCCCTACCGCAAGACCCACAAAGGCCACACACATTATTATAACACAAAGCACTGTGTGCAGCCTGAAATGTGGAGATGGGAGGGAAGCACACAGAGGGCATGGAGTGCTCCTGGGGTGAGATCAGACGTGGGCAGGGAGAACGTGACAGGCATGGGGAAGGGTTGTAAGATGGCCAACGAGGGAGGCGCCTCTCAACAGAGGTATGACCCAGGTGCACGTGCCCACTGGCTCCAGTGCTACTGGGGGCCTCATACGTGAGTAATAATGAAGGTTGATCCGCCTGCAGAGGCAGCAGTCCCTGCTGCTGCGGATCAAAGCCCGGCGAGGTCAGGCGTGTTCCCCGCACACTCTGACCGCAGAGCCTCAGAATTCTAAAAGGCATCTCAGCGTCTCCAGCGCTGGGAGACAGCCTGGCGTTCCTCCCGGTCAGGTCTCTAGTCTGAGTGACAGGGACTCTGCCACACACTGGCTACTCACACTTGGAGAAGCAAACGGAGTTGTCAGCATGATGTTGACCAGGACAGAATGGTACCCTGCAGTATCAGTATGGTTTGCTTGTTGTTGTTAACATTAACATAACTGAAATTCTGGACACTGAGATGAACTCTGAGAAAACAGGGAAAACAGCAGAAGCAGCTACAGTGAAGAGTTCAGCCTGTTTCTCTCCAGTCCTGTTTTCTAGATATTATTCTTTATATAGGTAAGATTGGATTTTAAAGTCTGCCATTTTGTAATCAATACCATGAGCATTTTCCATGTAATTAGCACTGCCTCATAAGCATAATTGACTGTGATTACCATATATCTTACCATATGGACACAACATAATTATTTAACTCACAAATAAATGTTAAAGCATTTCAATTACCCCCAACTTTTCATAACACTACATATTTTTTCAGTTTTGTGCTTAAATCTTTATTCTTGTTTCCTGAGAAATAAGTTTTTCTGGCCAGGTGCAGTGACTCACACCTTTAATCCCAGCACTTTGGAAGGCCCAGGAAGGTAGATCACTTGAGGTCAGGAATTCGAGACCAGCCTGGCCAACATGGTGAAACCCAATCTCTACCAAAAATACAAAAATTAGCTGTGCATGGTGGGGAGCACCTGTAATCCCAGCTACTCAGGAGGCTCAGGCAGGAGAATCCAGGAGACAGAGGTTGCCATGAGCTGAGATCATGTCACTACACTGCAGCTTGGGCAACGGAGTGAGTGAGTGAAAGAAAGAAAGAAAGAAAGAAAGAAAGAGAAAGAAAGACAGAAAGAAAAGGAAGGAAGGAAGGAAGGAAGGAAGGGAGGGAGGGAGGGAGGGAAGGAGGGAGGGAGGAAGGAAGGGAGGAAAGAAAGAGAAAGAGAAAAGAAAAGAAAGAAGGAAGGAAGGAAAGAAGGAAAGAAGGAAGGAGGGAAGGAGGGAAGGAAGGAGAGAGAGGAGGGAAGGAAGGAGGGAGGGAAGGAGAGAGGAAGGAAGGAAGGAGAGAGAGGAGGGAAGGAAGGAAAGAGGGGAGGAGAGAGACGAGGGAAGCAGGTAAGGAAGGAAGGAAGAAGGGGAGGGAGAGAAGGAGGAAGGGAGGGGCTTTTCATCAAATTATTAAAGCATTAGATTTCCTGGTTACCTAGTGGCCCCAGTGTAGGAAGACCTTGTAAAAAAATGTGTTTTGTTTTACTATGTTTTGGAAATAGATGCTTGGTGCTGCAAAGAAAAATTAGCACTGAGACAAAGGATTTTTTAGCAACACAGTTTTTACTTCCTGGAATGTAGAAAGGGTACCCTCACTAGCCATCTTGCCATGAGAGTACAATGAACAAAGGAAAACAGGCACGTTTTATCCCTTATGCATTTGGGGTTGTCCTTACTGCTGTGTCTGATCTCCATTGGCTGGAGCCAGACCTCACAATGTAAACTAAAACCCAATTGGCTAACAAAACTAAACAGGTAAAAGCAATGGAGATTTGGGACATGCCTGTGAACACACCTAGCACAGATATTTTGGTTAAAGTACAAGGATGGAATATACTTGGTGCCTGTAAGCATGGCATGTCTAACAGCTACATAAGATAGGGCTTAGAAAAGAGTTATTAGCACACTTATGATTTATTCTTTAACAAGAAAGAATCTTTAAAGAGGAATTTTTTTGCTTCCCACATATGTAATTGTTTTTTTATGAAATTGACTGGAAGGAGATTTCAGATGAGAGGAAGAGGACTAATATGTCACCCATAATACAGCAAACTTGTGGAAGCTCACTGTGCACAAAACACAGGAGTCCTAGGGGTGCTTCTGCAGGTAGCACGGGATGGACCCGCACATCCTCTAGAGGCACCAACTAGCAACCCGATAGCATTTCACAGGCACAAAACAGCCACCACCCACACGTCAGGGAATGGGCGCACACAGAGGGCACACGGGCAGCTGCCTGCCAGCCTGCATGCACACAGCCGGTGGCTCCACACTGGCCGTTCATTTTGGTTGCTGAGAATTGCTCTTTGTCTCCAACGCGTGTTTAAAAAGAAAGATCTGCCCTTTCTCTCCTATGTCTGAACATCTTAAACCTCCTCACTTGCTCCCAGGAACTTTTGCTTAGAGAATGATATCGATGATGGTAGTTTCTATTCATGAGCACTTACTACAGTCCAAGAGTTGGAAGCTGTTACTCACCGGCTATGTGATCTTGGATAAAGTTCACCTTCCGGAACCTTAATTCCTTATTTTTAAAGTAGCATTAATGGTTTCACTTGCAGACATGTTTAAGAGAACTTATATTGAAATGCATTTTTGAAAAAGATGATGGATGAATGGATGGAGAGTTGGGCAGATGGACAGTTATATAAATTTAGCAAAATGTTAATGGTAAACCAAGGTCGTGAGTATATGGGTGTTGACTATTTCTTTTAACTTTTCTGTATGTTTGGAATTTTTCAAAAACCATTGCTGAGGAAAACACTATTGATAACGGTACCTTCCAGATGATGCTGTGGACTGATGGAAGAAACAGTGAGACACGTGAAGTGTTCTGTGTGGTGTTCAACATGCTGTGATACACTGTAAGTCACTGTATTGTTAATATTCGTCACAACCAGCAAGATAGGTATTATAACTCTATTTTGGGGAGCAAAATAAAATTAGATACTCAGATAAAATAGTAATAGGGTGTAAACTAGTTAACATTAGCGCTAGACTTGAGCCAGGTCGGCCTATCCCAAAGCTGTGCCCTGCTCACCTCCCCACCAGGCAGTCAAGGGCGAGCACAGGGTATGCAACAGGGTCTGTGTGGTCACAGCTCCTGGTCTCTCACCTAGTCGCATGCCTCGCCTGGCATTTTTAAAGTCAGCTTTTTTATTTTGGAATAGTTTTAGGTTGACAAAAAAGTTTACAAAGGCAGTAGAGAGAGTTCCCACGTGTCCCTTGCCTGGTTTCTCCTTTCCCTAACATCTTACAGTGTGACGACACGTTTGTCTCACTTAATCAGCCACCGTTAACACATTATCAAAAACTACACCCCATGGACTACCTAGGCTCTATCATTAAACAAAAAAACAAAAACAAAACACAAAAAAAACCTCTAGCCCATAATAGATTTCTTCAGGATTTATCTAATGTCCTTTTTCCGTTCCAGGGTCCCATCCAAGAAAGCATATAGCATTTAGTAGTTGTGTCTCCGTAAGTTCGACTTGGCTGTGACTTTTTCTCACCTAAGTTTCCTTGTGTTCAATGGCCTTGACAGTTTTGCAGAGCACTGGTCAGATACATTTGGGAGGCCCCGTTGTTGAGATTGGTCTGATGTCTTTACCATGCTTAGACTGAGGTTATAGATTTGGGGTCACATCAGGGCACCTATTGGTGTGACTTGTCACTGTGGATATCACGCTTGCACCTGGAGAGAAAGGGATTGTCCGGGACTCCACTGCAGAGTCGCTCTTTCTCCCTTCCCGTGCTGTCCTCTGTCACAGGAAGTCACCTTTCAGCCCACATTGAAGGTTAGGGTGGAAGGTGCACACGGTGTTGATTACAAAAACGCAGACTTTAAAATCTAATCTTACCTCTGTAGAGAATAACATCTGGAACACAGGACCAGAGAGAAACAGGCTAAACTCTTCAGTGTAGTTGCTTCTGCCGTCTTCCCTCCTTAAGGGCAGAGCACTTAGATAAATTTTTTGGAATTTATCTGTGTGGGAGATTGTCTGTTCTCCTCCATTAATTCATTCATCCAATCATTTATGTGTGTCAGTGTGGACCCTTGGTTATTTATGTTATGCTTTGGTTTCTAATCCAAAACTGTAGAATTTATTTGCTGCGTTGACCTTGGGAGTGCTTTCAGATTGGTTTCTGTGTCCACTTGACATCCTTTTTTGAAGCCCTTCCTTACTCATTTGCACTGCAAGATGCTGCCTCAGGTTTATCCTGTGTTTTTTCCTGTCCACATCCTAGAATCAGCTATTTTCCTACAGAGCCTGTTTCCTTCCTTGGAGAATGGTGTTCGAAACCAAGATCTGGGCACTGGGTGTGCCTGTTGTTTCCGGGGTGTCTTTGATTCTAGGCTCTCTCAGTGACAAAGCTGGGAGACAGATGTGTATCCTCATGCCATTACTCTTAGGTTAGTTGCATTTTAATGGAAAAAACTGCAATTACTTTTGCACCAGCCTAATTAGTTCTATATGTAGAGTATTTCTTCTTGTTTAAATATGTAGAAATATTTCTATATGTATACTTACCTGTCTACATATATATATATATATATATATATATATCCACCTGTATCTGTATTAAGCTACGCATTAGTTCATACTGATGTCTCCAACTCTGACACATCACTTCAGCCTTCTGCCCTCATTTCTCTGTACCCTTTTACTCCATCAATGAGCAACCTGGCTCCAATCATGGACTATCCTCTTACATAATTGTTCATTTTTAGTATAAATGTATAGTGTCGGAATTGTCAACCTGTATCTTCATGCGAAGTAACTTTATCAGCTGTAGTGCAGTGCTTATATGCCATCCCTCTGCCATTAGTCCTACAGTCTCCACTCATTTCCAGAGTTACTTCAGTCCACGCCCTCCTTACCTCCCTCAGTGAGGTGGTTTCATACATTTGTAATAGAGTCATCCATCTTAATCTGCATTCCCTCCTGGCATCCCCTGACCTCCTAATCAGTTTTTTAATTTGAATACAATAAGGTTCAGTCTTTGTGTTGTAAAGTTCCGTGAGTTTTGACAAACGTGTAGTGCCACATATTCACCATGAATGTCGTACAGAATAGCTTCAGAGATACCCTAGGAAGAAATACGGCTTTGTGGAAAAAGCTTTAAATACGTGATTTCCAACCTACTTATGTGATGCTGACTTCTCCCTCTTGCCCCACAACTCGGCCCCAGATTTCTCAATAGAAAAACAAGCACACCATCAAAAAGAGAAGACTGAGCCCTAGCAGTAATTAGCTTGCAGCTTCATATATTTCAAAATGTAAGATGTAGACTTTCTAAGCCAAAAAAGCAAAGAGAATCGTGTAGACTAGCTACACGCAAACACCCACACTTTGTTTGCAGGGAATTTGGGAGGAAAATCAATGGATTCTAGGACTCAACAGCTTCCAAACACACTTTGATCTAGGTGCATGATTATGAGCAAATTGGTTTGCTGTACTGAATCTCCACATGCTCATCCATGAAGCCAGGCTATTGGTAATCTTTAGCCCTCTGTTGCTTACATAGATGACGAGGCAGAGGTTAGTTAAAATGGCAGTTAAAACGTATTGCTCACTATGACAGATTTTACCTCCCAAAGATGGCCACAGCATTTCCTAGCACACATGCTCTTCTGCAACGTGGCCTTGCCCTGCTCCATCAAGGTGCAGAATTTCATTCACCTCTTGGCTTAGTGCTTTGCTCAGCGTTGGGACGCACTTAGGGCCTTGCTGGTCACAGTGGAGTACAGGAAGAGTATCTGCATGACCTCTGAAGCCAGGAATCATCACAGCCTTGCTGCTTCTGCGTCACTCGCTGGGACGCCCATTCCTCTGAAGCCAGGAATCATCACAGCCTTGCTGCTTCTGCCTCACTTGCTGGGACGCCCATTCCTCTGAAGCCAGGGATCATCACAGCCTTGCTGCTTCTGCCTCACTCGCTGGGACGCCTATTCCTGGAGTCTGGAGCTGCAGTGTAAGAAGTCTTCCTCCCTGAGACCTCCATGCGGTGGGGAAGCCCAAGTCACGTGGAAAGGCCACTTGTACGTGTTCTAGTCAGCAGGGTTAGTCTCTGAGCTATCTCAGCCCAGGCACCAGATATCTGAGAGAAGTTACACCG